GGGGGGTGTCTTACTTTTGGGGAAACAGGGTAACTGTGTGTGTATTCTGTCACCCCTCCCCCATCCTCATGTCCTCAGTTCAATGCACAGCCCCTGGCACACAAAACCTCAAACCAAACCAGTCCACTGTTGTAGAGCCGATCCTGACTCACAGCAACGCCATGCAGGGTCCCCAAGACCGGAATCAGGCCATTTTGTCTTTCTGCTGAGGGGTGGCTGGTGGGTTTGAACTGCCAGCCTTGCAGTTAGCAGCCCAACATCCAGCCCACCATGCCAGCAGGGACCCTTCCCTGCTACATCACAAACCAGCCAACCATGGCCTTCAAGTTGTCTCTGACTCAGGGATGTCCCCTCTCTAGCACTTCTGAGGCTGTACATTGTTACAGGAAAAAACTGTCTTATTATTCTCCTGAGGAGTGGCAGGTAGGTTTGAACCGCTGACCTTCCAGTTAGGAGCCCAACACCCAATCCACAGCACCATCCGGGCTCCTTCTTTGACATATCAGACTCACTGCCATGGAGTCGATGCCAGCTCATAGTGACCTTCTAGAAATGCCCTTGTAGATTTCTGAGATTACCTATTGATGGGAGTAGAAACCCTCACATGTCTCCCTCCTTGACATATAGTAGATGCTGAGTTAATACTGCTGAGAATACTATAGAAGGAGCAGTTGCCGCCCCCACCCCTACCCCAGGAATGGCTGGGTACTCAGGTTTTTCTGGGTGGCCCTAGCCACCCATCACCAACACTCACAGCTGGATATCCAAGAAGATCCGCTTCTCTTCACCCACGTGGATCTTCCAGACACAATCTTCCCCTTCCACATAGGGCTCTGGCCAGTTGGGGGACAGCACTACTCCGGCCACAGCAGAGAGCTCCCCACCACACATGGCTGCAAGAGGACACAGGCAGACTTTCTTCAGGAGGAAGCTGACATGCACGGGGGATGGGTGTGTGCTGCAGTCACCTCACCCAGTCAATACATGTGTGCCTGATGAGTCCACGAGGGATAGCCACCTGCCTCCTTCCTTCAGCAGAGTGTCAGCCAACTCTGGACTCGGAGCTCAGAAGTTCCTCCCGGGCCAAGTGCAAAACCCAAAAGCCAAACTCTGCCATGAGTTGATGGAGACTTATAGCTTACCCTATAGGACAGGGCAGAACTGTTGCTGTGAGTTTCTGAGACTCTCATTCTTTATGGGAGTAGAATGTTCCAGAGCTAGAGGAAACCAATTTTCTCCACACCAAGGACAGACCTCGAGGGAACCATCAGGGCTTTTCAGCACCAGGGACAAGGCCGAGCCAACAGGATGAGCCATCAAGGACAGAGCTCAGGGCATCAGGATTTTCAAG